GATGAACCTGGTCCTTCATTGAGTTCGTTTGTCATTCTTCAAAACTTTAACTGATCTTGGACCAACAGTTTGTCCTTAAAAGGAACTATAACTTTCCAATCTTAAGGTGGACATATGAGTCCATTTGCACCTTAAGTTGGCCTCTCCGGTAGTCGAGCCACATTGAGAGTAATCTCTCCGATAGTCGGGACGCCTTGAGAGTAATCTCTATGATAGTCGGGTTATTTTGAGAGTAATCTCTCCGATAGTCGGGTCATTTTGAGATTAATCTCTCCGATAGTCGGGCCGCCTTGAGAGTAATCTCTCCGATAGTCGGGTCATTTTGAGAGTAATTTCTCCGATAGTGAGGTCATTTTGAGAGTAATCTCTCCGATAGTCGGGCCACATTGAGAGTAATCTCTCTGATAGTCGGGTCATTTTGAGAGTAATCTCTCCGATATTCGAGCCACATTGAGAGTAATCTCTCCAATAGTCGGGCCACTGAGAGTAATCTCTTCGATATTTGGGCAGGGATGAGTATCCATCCCCTCAACCGCCTTCTTCATACGTGGATCATCTTGTTGAACAAGAACATATCTTTCTCGCTTGACCTACAAAAAAAGAAAAAGACAACAAAACAAGAAAAGCACCAGAAAAGAAGAAGAAATGACCTCCGCATTAATACTTCCAAGTCCACAAAAATAGACTCAAGTGGCTTGCAACTACTGCGAACTGATGCTCACAAGTTGGAGAGTACGCACCCTTTATATGGATTTCTCAAGGCAGTGGTTGAGAATAAAGTCCCAATGTGGGATTATCAACTAAGGTGGCTGGATTATCAACTACAGTCCCAATTCATTCGCATGTACGTCGTCGCTGGCAGAAGTTCCTAATATAGCTATGTTCCTAATATAGCTATGTTTAATCCAAATTGCAAAATGAATGATGTGGGTTCCGCTCAAAACGTGAGTAATCATTACAGTTGCAAATTATTACAGGGTAAAAACTTATCCGTACCGGGTGTTTACACCAAACCAATAGATACATTACATATGTCTTGCATATGGACTTCAATCATTTAACCATGGTAAATTATATGCATTCTCATCTAATTAAATTAATTAACTATGGTGAGTTAATAAAGTTTGGTGTAAACACTCGGTGCGGGTAATTCCTAATATAGCTATGAAACCACTTGAATATATTCCCTGTGTATATACGCATATAAAGGATATGTGTGTTTTATGTACGTTATACTTCAAAACTCGTCACGGGGTAAGTGATTTTACACCCCGATAGGATTTGAAGTAGGGGGCATTTGTAGGCATATAAATTTATTAAAATTAAATCCATGAAATAATTTGGACTATATTTTAAATTAAAGATATATTGGTCCAAATAAATATATGGGCTAATATAATTGAATTAATTATATAAGTTCAATATATATGGATTAAATAAATAAGTCTTAGTCCATTGGGCTAGCCCATTTAGTTGGGCTAAAATGATGAGCCCACTTCATTAGGCCCAAGATGTCATCTTCCTAGAGGCCCGGTTTGGTGTCATGTGTCAAATGACGTGGCGCGTCAAGTCAAGCGAAAGAGACAATAGAACCATGCTACGTGTCAAAATGACAAGGCATGCCCAGTCATACTGAAAGGCCAATGAAATCGCGCCACGTGTGCAATTGACATGTTCTGGCCAATCAAATGCGGCCATGTCACACTTCAATTTGATTGGTCGGAAGGAGTTTGTTCTTGTCATGACTCCTCCCTTCCACAACTATAAATAGGGGTCTTCATAACTCAAAAAAGACACCAGAAGTTATAACAAGAAGCAAGAGAGAGCTCGTGGATCAAACATCGCAAATTTATCTACAAGTTTCAAGATTCAAGCAATCAAATTCAATCTCAAGAACGAAGAACAAATCAAGTTCAAGCTCAAGAACAAAGAACAAATCAAGGTCAAGTTCAAGCAATCAAGCTCAAGCTCAAGAACAAGAACAAGATCATCGTTCGTGGCAACAAACATAAATTCAAGATCAAGCTCAAAGGCTCTTGAATTTATTTACTATTGAAAAAAGAATGAGAGGATTCATAGAGATTGTAACACTCAAATATTCGAAATAAAATACTATGATTGTTGCCGATATTTTTCGATCTTGATTTTATTTTTTCGACGCAATTTATTGTCTACACCTTGTACTCAAAAAAGATTCAAACAAATCAAAACGGATGAAGCATGTTTCATGATCATGAAGTTATATTTTTTCAATGATAAGATATCTCTCTCTCTATATATATAAAGCTAGGAATGAAAAAGGTTATGTGGCACCTATCATAGCTCAAGGAAGTCATTTATTTTTTTTCTCATTCTTTTGAGTTTTATCTCTTATTTGATATCTAGAAAATGTGCAGAAAATTAAATAGATCATATTTATGTCATTCCTTATTATTGTCATTAATTTTTTTAATTACTCCCACGTTCCCTTCTTATCAAAGCATCATTACACTTTTGACCCTAATTTTTTAATACAATTAATACATATTCATGGGATTAAAATAGAATTTAATGTTTGCCTATAACGGTAAAATTAATGTTAATAAGGAGAACAAATATTATGACTGAGGGTAATAAAGAGCCATGGTGCCTCCTCCTCACGAAGATAAAGGCTCCCTATAACTTTTACGTTACTATGTGGACTGGTTCAGACATTTCATTTCTAATTCAAATGAACCACTTTTTGGGATATGAAATTAAATTGTTCTATTAATGACTGTTGCGAAAATTGTTCTATTAATGACTGTTGAGTTTTTGACGTTCCGTTTGAGGTGAAGATGGTACAGTATCGATCAGCAAATTTAGATCTTTTTTATGGACGGTAAGGTTCTCAGATCTTTGCTTTCCTTGAAAATTAAATTAATTGATCTTCTAATGTTGAATACATTGTTTCTTTGAGAGCAAATCTGGACATAGCAAAAGAAACTGATTTCTTATTGTTGTGACAACGGATTGAAGCCTATTGTTACGTCTGAACTGAAGATGTTATTGCAGGGATTATTTTAGAAAGTGCAACATCCTGTAAGATATATACAAAACTCAAAGGAATATATCTGTTGTGTTTTTTCGTGCTTTTTTCATAAAGTTGTGCTCAGAAAGTATTTGGATTCCTGTATATGTATGAAACTATTTTTTGTTAAATTACTACTAAAATAATCAGCTTTTAGCGACGGACAAATTCTGTAGTTAACCCGAAAAAATCCGTGGCTAATCTCATTTAGCGACGGATTAGCAACGGATTATCAAGAAATTCTGCTAGCTACGAGTGTTTTAGCAACAGGTTAGCGACGACGTTCGTAGCTAATTCCAGTTTTTTATATTGAATATTGTGGAACTTTTAGTACAATGTAATCGACAAGTCACACATTTATGTGTCAATACCCATTTGGACTTTAAAATGTATTACGTAGTTAAACGGGAATATATTTGTTTCCTCAATGTATTTATCAAGAACATGATCTTGAAGCATTCTAACTAAAGTATGTTGTACATTTATTAGATTTTGGAAAAAAATCTGAAAATATATTAACAAATAGAGTATTAGTTATTCTTCTAGATATTCCTGGAACAAAATCTTAGAAACAATGTAGAGGGAATTACTCACTTCTACTTCTTTCTTTATCGCTTCGAGAAATGATGGGTCATGTAATTTTGCTCTCAAATAGTGTAAGTTTTAGTAGGTGTTTGGACATAAGAATTGTAAAATTCTGGAAAAAAGTGAAACTTTTTTCAAGTGAAAATAGTATTTAAAAATTAGAATTGTGTTTTGACATGAATATATTTTTTGGGTTATTTTTGAATTTTTGTGACTGATTTGAAGTGAAAATATTGAAAAACAGTTTTTTGGAGTTTTTCAAATTTTTGAGAAATTCCAAAATTCATCTTCAAGTGAAAATTGAAAATTTGATGGCAAAACACTAATTTCAAAAAAAGTAATTCTTTTTTTGAAGAAAGTGATTTTTTTTTTCCCAAAAGTGATTTTTTTTTATTTTAAAAACAATAGTTTACTTTTTGATGTTTCTCCTTGATTGTCTGAGATTTGTTATATTTTATATTATAAAATTAAGAAATGTCATAGAAAAATATGTCGAGCTTTTGTTTTCAAAAGTAATATTTTCTTAATTATTAATTAATAACATAAAGGTTATATTTCTCTCATTTTCCTTTTATTCTATACCCTATTTTGTAAATCCAAAAATTATATACATTATTTTATTTTAAAAAGGATGGTACAAGGATTTTACAAAAATCTAAAACTAAACCTTGTGTTGGGTTTTTTATATTTATTCTTCTTGATATTATTATTATTATATTAGAAATTTACAAAAAGAATGACAATAATACATAAAGAGCTAAATGTTCTGCTGGATTTTTAACTCGATACCTTATGTGAAACATTATATTTATTTCATAGCTTATTTTATTCTAATAACATTATCTTGTTATGGCCAATGGTGCAATAGGCAGCAATGTCAGTAGTTAGTACGTCATTATTCATTAAATAAATATTGTCTTACTTTCCAATTTTATTTCCTCAAATCAAAAAAGATATTGTAACATTTATATGTGTCGATCGATAAGGTTTTGAGGAAGAATATAATGTATGTTCTGAATTTGAAGGCTCAATGCTATAAATGAAAAAATACAAAATGCAGAGGTTGGAAGAATATATAAACAAAAGAAAAATTATAATTATTTGACAATGCAATAACAACAATGAACAATCGATAGTGCTAGAGTATAGAGAAGATAAAATCGATCAACGACACAAGACTAATGATTCTTTGGTCATATCTTAACAACTGTGCGAAGCGCGGTCATATTTACTAGTTTATGTATTATTTTAGCTTTTTTAAAATTACAAGTGTTCACAATACAAATTATTTGTAGTTAAGTTTGAGTGGTTAAGTGACAAATCTAAAACTACTATATTTTGATTACCAAAAAACGAATATTTGGACTTCTTGATATTTTCACTCTCTCTTATCCGCAACACATAGCCGTGAAATTAGGCGTATCGACATGAGCACTGTATGCAACCCTTCGGCGAGCCTATTACCCATTCAAAGCCCCTGCTCCTCTTCCACTGCCTCTATTTGCCATTGGGCTCCGCGTTTAAGGAGGAAGGGGCATTTGAGAAGAAAGGCGACGGTATTCTGCTCGGCAGATGAAGTGGATTTCAAGGTGCTCACTTCTGTCACAAGTAGTTATAATAACATAGTTATTCTGGACACTCCCGACTCACGTGTGCTGCTTCTCGACTCTTCCAGTATGTGAGATTGCATTCTGTCAAACGATTTTCATTCCGTGACTTATTTTTTTTCTAAGGATTTTATGGTTTATTTTGCTGGGGACAGATAATGTGCATAGCATTCTTCACAAGGGAAAGAAGTGGACTGATGCATATTGGGTATGTCATTGCTTCGTCTTCTTTTTATTGCCTTTCTATTAATATCAATAGTCTTCTCAAAGTTGTCTAATTCTCACACTGTTTAAATCAAAATGTATGGTGAGAATTTGTGTGTGGACGCAATAACATGTAGTGTAGGCTCTCTATATCACACCCCTTGGGTGCAGACCTTCCCACAAGGGGCAGAGCTAGAGTGTCGGGAGAGGGTTCGACCTAACCCGGTAGCTTTGGTTAGAACCCTGTATTTGTCTTAAAAAATCCATTAAATATGCACAAATTATTAGTTTAGAACCCAGTAACTTAAAACGATTAGAATCGCGAACCCATAAGCTTGAAATCCTGGCTCCGCCTTTGCTTCCCTGGGCCCTTCGTGAATGCGAGATGCTTTGTGCACCGGCCTGCCCTTTATTTGTTTTAAGTACTAAATGCTTCATAAAATAATTATTTTGTTTATACTGCTCAGTTTTCTGAGTTTTGCGTTCACATGATGTGAACCAGTACAAAATATTCTTGTAAACATTTCAGGACATGACAAGACGAAAACAAATCCTATGTGCAGCTTAAAATATCTGTAGCTGACTAATTTAGTCAATCCAGCATAGGCAGGCAACTTTCCGCAGAATTGTACATTTCTCTTGTACGGTTTATTGTTGTTGATCCTGAATGTTGACCTTACAATGCTTATGTAGTGCATTCAACTCCCTAATGTGGTACAGTTTCTTCTATTTGATTACAGGATGAGTTTGCCACCTTGCCGGCCATTGTTCCAAGGGGTCCCATCGCTATTTTTGGCCTGGTAATTTAGGTTCTTTTAATGAATTTTGATTTTTGACAAAACATATCACTAATACATCAACTTTTCTTAACAAATGCAAGTTTGAAATCTTACCGTCTCTATATGCGGGATTAAACTGATCTACAGCTATTTCCTGCTAATTTTCAGGGGGGCGCAACTGCTGCACATTTGATGCTTGAGCTATGGCCTTCTTTGCAGCTTGTTGGATGGGAGATAGATGAAATCGTAATAACATTTCCTTATCATTTCCTAGCTTTTGTCTTTTATAGAGCATATTTATATTTTGATATTTCATATGCAATTTTTTCACTAGCATATCTTGGACCTTCGTGCATTGCAAGAAAGACAAAGAAAATATAAATCTAGAGGCTATCAATGGTATGATGCTTGTTTATGTTTTTTTTCATGAGTACCAAGTCATTCCAATTGATCCAAAAAAAACATTCACAACTTTCCAGAGTCTTAAATTAGTCTTATATTATTTTGTCAAGGAAACACCTTTATTGCATCAGTTGTTTTGTTAATAATCAAAACCATGGAAAACAGAGAGGAAGGTGACATGAAAGCCTGACTTCATGCTTTTTTATTTGAATAAGTACCCTTTCCTTTACACTAAGATGCATCCTGTAGAGCAAGTAGCAAAGAATAATCCCCTTACAATGCAGAACTTATGGAAAACCATCAACGTACTATGCAGATATGGGCATAGACATACCGCTCCATTCAAAAAGAGTAGAATGACATTGGAGTTTAGGCATTTATAAGAATTCTAAGAATTACGAGAAAGATTTTTGGTTTGGGGAAAAAAATGGTATGGATATGCATACTCTTTGCAACAAGCTTAGCTAATGAGAGTGACTTATTTAACCTCCTTGTTGTAGTCAGTAAAAGGGCACCTCATAGGGTCTGTGACTTGGCAATGGTGAACATCAATTGACGGAACCAGTGTTTTTGAGAGCGCGAAGCGCAAAAAAGCGACAGGGGCTCGCCTCGCTTCAAAAGCGAAGCGCAAAGCGAAGCGCACGCTTCATTCAAGTGAAGCGCAATTGTGAAAATACATATAATATATATAATAATTAATTTA